GAGGAGGAGGGAGGAAGCTCCTGGCTGGCTGCTTCCCAAAGTTCCTCCAAATTTCCTCCAGCTGCGCCGTGGCAGGGGGAGGTGGAGCCATGGCCATGAGTAGCCCCACGGCAGGGCAGTGCAAGGGAAGGCTCCGCGCTCGGTGCTGGCTCATCGCATGGGCAGAGGGACCAATTTGCTGTCACACCCCAAGCAGCAGCCCCACACACCCCCGGTGAGGGCCTTGGGGGGCACAGGGGGCTCCCCCTCACCTGTGTAGGGCAGGAGACAGTTGCAGGTGTAGCCAGCGACATCATCGATGCACGTGCCTTGGTTCAGGCAGGGGTTGGAAGCGCATTCGTTGATGTTGGTCTGGCAGTTGGGTCCTGGGTTAAGAAAAATAGATAAAAGCAGCCGTGATGGAGGTGTGCTGGTTGGGAGGGGGCTGGGGGGACAGTGGGGACGTGGTGACAATGGCCCACCCATCACCCTGGGAGAGCCTCCTGCTCTCAGCTCCAGCCATGGGCACCCAAACTCTGTTGAAGGTCCCCAAGCTGCACTGCCACATCTCCCAACCAGACCCGAGGTCTCCACCAGCCCCACAGCGGAGCCTCCAGCTCATCCAGCACCACGGGGTGCCCACCCACAGCTCCCACCCAGGCCCCAGCCTCCCTGGATGTGCCCTTACCGCTGAAGCCCTCCCTGCAGGTGCAGATGTAGCCGCTGGTCATGTCCTTGCAGGTGCCACCATTCATGCAGGGATTGGATTCACACTCGTTATTGTTAATGTCGCAGTTTGTCCCGCTCCAGCCTGGGTCACAGTCACATCTGTAGCTTTGGGGAAAAATTGAGGCATAAAGCACAGGATGTGGGCTGACCTGCCCTCCTGGCTACACCAGCCATCGTTTACCCACCAAACCCTGGCTCATAATGGTGCCCTTGCACTGAAACATCCCCTCACCACTATCACAGGGCATGGACAAGATGTGGCACAGGGGGGATGGCCGCTCACCCTGCTTCTACCCTCCACTTTTCTGGGTGGCCCTTTGGTCCCAGCAGCCCCCTGTGCCCTCCAGCCTACCCATTGAGCCCGTCGTGGCATTTCCCGTGGATGCAGGGGTTGCTGTTGCACTCGTTGACTTCGGAGAGGCACTTGGGGTCGTGGAAGCCCTCGGGGCAGAGGCAGGTGAAGCCGTTGATGCCATCCTTGCACGTGCCTCCGTTGTGGCAGGGGTTGCTGGAGCACTCGTCGATGTTGATGTTGCACATTCGCCCTGGGAAAGGGAGGATGGGTGAGGAAATGTTACCCCATGGGATGCTTGGTGGGTGTGCTCTGCCTCTTGGTGGGCACCCACCGGGCAGATCCCCCTCCAGCCACCCGGGGAACGGCTGATGGAGGCTCGAATCTCTGGTCACACGTGTGCCAGCCGCATAGGAGCGGGCTGCCCTCCGGGTAGGGTGACTTCACACCCCCGCATCGCCCGCCTGGCTGAACTAAACGTGACTGGGAAGAGGCCGTGCCCTGGGCTCCTTTGGTCCAGGAGGGACTAAGGAAGGGAGCGGGTTTCAGCCTGTAACCCTACCTGCCATGGCTGACAAAGCCAGGCTTTATTGCAGCTCCCAGGCGGGCAGAGGGACAAGGGGCTGCGCGAGCGGGGAGAGGGGGGGCTGCTCCCATCAAAGCCCCCCGCCATCTCCAGCAGCGATCAAACAAACCAGTCGGACGAGGCGGGAACCCGATACCCATGGGAGTGGGCGCAGCGGGAGTCGAATTCGCCACACCAGACACCCCCTTTGATTTCAGCCTGAGCCGGGGTCGCCCTCCTGAACAAACAGGAGCGCTGGAGGGTGCAAAACCAGCCACAAGTGGGATCACTGAATCATGGAATTGTCAGAGCTGGAAGGGACCTCTAGAGACCCTCCAGTCCAACTCCCCTGCTACAGCACATCACTCAGGAGCATCCAGGCGGGGCTTGAAGATCTCCAGAGAAGGGGACTCCACACCCTCCCTGGGCAGCCTCTGCCAGGGCTCTGCCACCCTCACCCCAAAGAAGTTTTTTGTCATATTTGAATGGAATTTCCCATGTTCCAGCTTGTGCCCGTTGCCCCTCGTCCTATCGCTGGAAACCACTGAAAAGAGTCCGGCTCCATCCTCCTTCAACCCACCCTTTAGGTACTTGTAAACGTAGATAAGGTCTCCCCGCAGCCTTCTCTTCTCCAGGCTAAAGAGCCCCAGCTCTTTGAGCCTTTCCTCGTAAGGGAGATGCTCCAATCACTTAATCATATTAGTTGCCCTACACTGGACTCTCTCCAGCAGTTCTCTGTCCCTCTTGAACTGGGGAGCCCAGAACTGGACACAGTATTCCAGTTGTGGCCTCCCCAGTGTGGAGCAGAGGGGGAGAATGACCTCCCTCGACCTCCTGGCCACACTCTTCCCTCTGCAGCCCAGGATCCCATTGGCCTCTTGGCAACAAGAGCACATTGCTGGCTCATGGAGAGTTTGCTATGTTGGCAGCATCTCCCCTCCTTCCCGCACTCTTGCCCCCAGCACCACCAGCTGTGGGCATCCTTGCACCACCACGGGGACAGGGGACATCCCAGGGCTCCCTGGTGCAAGGCTGGATCCAGACCAGGTCCTTGGGGTGCCACGGTGGCCGCTGTGCCCTGCTCTCACCTGTGTACCCCGGCTCGCAGGTGCACTCGTAGCCATTGATCTTGTCGATGCACTTGCCGTAGTCGCAGGGGCTGCTGGCGCAGTCGTCCAGGTTGATCTCGCAGTTGGGCCCTGGGGAGGAGAGCGGTGCCATTAGGGGGGTCTCCAGCTCCGCTGACGAGGCAAAACGAAGCCCGCTGGCACCGACCGCCGCCGCCGCCGCCCCACAACAAAGTGCCTCCGCACCCAGCGGCTCCCCGGCCCCCGGCTGGGGTGCGGCTCCTTCCAGCACCGGGCACCAAACCGGGAGAACTCGCCCTCACCGAGGACGCCCCAGGCTGGTCCTGGCACCAGGGCGGCTGCTGGTGGTGGCCCAGGGCCAATCCGCCCGGGGACAGGGATGGGACCGGGGTGCTGCGCGGCACGGCCGACCCGTGTAGCCCCCCGGGGGGGTGTCCCTCCCGCTCACCTGTGGTCCCTTTGAGGCAGAGGCAGTTGTAGGCGTTGTTCCTGTCCTGGCAGGTCCCCCCGTTTTTGCAGGGCTGGCTCTGGCACTCGTTGATGTTGATGTCGCAGCGGTGGCCCGTGTAGCCGGGCTGGCAGAGGCAGGTGAAGGCGGCGATGCTGTCCTTGCAGGTCCCGTAGTGGCACGGGTCGGGGTCGCACTCATCGATGTCGATCTCGCAGTGAGCGCCCGAGAAACCTGCCACCAGCGGGAGGGACAGGGGGTGAGGATGGAGGAACATGGGATGAGGATGAGGGATGCGGGGTCAGGATGGTCAGGGCCACAAAGATGATCAAGGGCCTGGAGCATCTCTCTTATGAGGAGAGGCTGAGGGACTTGAGTCTTTTCAGTCTTGAGAAGAGAAGGCTTAGGGGAGATCTAATTAATGGGTACATATACTTAAAGGGTGGGTGTCAAGAGGATGGGACCAGTCTTTTTTCCATGGTGCCCAGTGACAGGACAAGAGGAAATGGGCACAAATTTGAGTATAAGAAGTTCCACCTAAACATGAGGAGGAACTTCTTTACTGAGAGAGTGGTGGAGCACGGGAAGAGGCTGCCTAGAGAGGTGGTGGAGTCTCCTTCTCTGGAGACATTCAAAACCCACCTGGACAAGTTCCTGTGCTCTGGGTAGACCCGCTATGGTGGGGGGGTTGGACTAGATGATCTCCAGAGGTCCCTTCCAACCCCATAAGATTCTACGATGGGGGACACTCCTTCCCGCCCTGGCCAGGTGTGGGGCAGTGCACCGGGGTGGCTTGACCTGCCCACCCTCCCCGCTGTGAGCCCCGGGACCCCCAGGAGCAGGGTGCAGGCAGAGGAGCACCCCATTGGTGGGGCTGGACGGACCCCAGCTCAGGGCCTTTGTCCCGGGGGGCACAATGACCCGCATTAAAGCCGCCTGGGCTCAGGAGCGGGGCCCCGCGCTCGCCTGCAGCTCGTCCCGGAGCGCACAGGGGGGGTCATCCACAGGCACCCCCCGAATAATAACCCCCCCTGGCAGATCCTATTCTCCTGGCCGGCTCCCTCCCCGCCGGGCTGGGGGTGGAGAGCTGAGGACAAAGTACAGCTTTGACTAGACCCCGCCAAGCCCACATAGCAGCTTTTCATCGGGGCTTGGCATTAGCAAGACACTAATTAGAGGCCATTCAGCTGGAAGATTTCTGGCGGGAGCTGCTCCACAAAAGAGCCACTGTTTGCCACCAGGGCTCAAGTCATCATTTTGTGCAACCGCTCCTTGGGTTTCGGTCGGCGAGCCCCCGCAGCCCTGCACCTTGCGTCCCCATAGAGGCAGCTTTATTCCTTCCTTCCTGCCGTCCCCCTCGCTGCCGCCCGCCGCCGAGGCGGGGAGCACGGCGGGACGGCTGCTGCGGGGCCACACCTAACGAGCATCGGGCTCGTTATTACGCCCGGCTGCGGGGCTGGTGGGCTGCAGGGCTCTGCTCGCTCCTCCATCGCATGGAAAAAGCCATGGCAATGGGGACTGACTCCCCAGGAGGTTTGAGGACACCCCCGTGGCGGGTGTTTGGGGAGATGGGCGTGTGTTATGAATTCAGCAAAGTGGTTTTGCAGCACACTATGGGGCAGAAAGGTGGCTTGTTCCCCCAAGCCCCCCCCCCAAGAGGCCTCACCTTCGGTGCACTCGCAGCTGTAGGTGTTGGGGCCATCCACGCACTTGGCGCCGTTCTTGCAGGGGGTGCTGGCACACTCGTCGATGTCGAACTGGCACAGGTGCCCGTTGAAGCCTGGAATGGAGGGAGAAGTCACGTCCCTGCGCAGCGGCCGGACCCGCCGGCCTCCCCCCGCCGCCGGGCAGATCCCGCCGGGCCCCCCGCATCCCGGCCGGGGCGCCGGGTTTCCATGGGGATGGCTGCTGGGGGCCCTGAATGCGGGGCTGCGACCCGCCATTGAGAGCATCTTATTTACATCTCTAGAGGAGCAAAGTCTCTGAACTTCAAAACCTCCTTTCACAGATTAACCGTCTCCCCATTCTCCGCTCCACCCTGTGACTTTGACACCACATTCAAAGCCGCTGGCGCGGCCCCCCCCGGCCCCCAGCCCTCCTTCCCAAAGAGGGGCCTTTTCAAGTGCAAAGCCACGGGGTTTAATCCTCCTTCCCCTCTCCCATGGGCCGGACCCTGAGCAGCATCGCCCACACGGGGCTCAGCCCCACGCCGCTATGGGGGGAACCCCCCATTAAAAGCACCAAGAGGTGCTCAGCGCCCTCTCCCCATTTTGGGAGGCTGCGAAATTTCAAGGAGCTCATTTTCGGCTCCTTCCCAGCTGGAGCTGGGATGCAACCATGGCTCTGTCCCCACCGTGATGGCGGAGGGATGGATGCTGCATACCGGTGGGACACTCGCAGTGGAACTCATTGATCTTGTCGAGGCAGTTGCCGTTGTGCAGGCAGGGGCTGCTGGCACACTCGTCCGTGTTGATCTCGCAGTAAACCCCCTCGTAACCTGCAGAGAGACCCGGCGTCAGCCCCACGGCACGGGGCCGGCACAACAGGCAGGACAGGCAGCTCCATCTTTGGTCCCTCCATCTTTACAAAGGCAGCTCAGGAGCTGTGCTACAGGTGGTGGGACCTGGTGCACAGGCTGCTCCATGGTTGTCCACCCCAGATCTCCCTGCCTTTGGCTTGATGCAAGCCAGCAAGCTCGGCAAGAGTGGGAGTGCAGAGCAGGGCTGATGGTGCCCAACGCATCTCCCGTCCCCCCACAGCTGCAGGAGAACGTGCAATCTTTACCAAGCTCTTTCTTTCCATTGCTGTCCCCAGACAAGGGCACCTTGCATGGCTTCTCACCCAAACCAACACCCAGCTGAAGCTCAGGGGCACCTGGAGTCCTCCCACCACCCACACCCAGCACCGGGGCAGGGGTCTGTGGGGCTGCCCACTCACCAGGCATGCAGATGCACTGGAACTCCCCGATCTGGTCCAGGCAGGTGGCATCATTCTGGCAGGGGTTGGAGAGGCACTCATTGACATCGATCTCACAGCGAGGGCCGGAGTAGCCCTGCAGGCACTGGCACTGGAAGGACCCCTGGGTGTTGATGCATTTCCCTGCGTGTTCGCAAGGGTTGGCTCCTGCAAAACACAAGCACGGCTTAAGGGACACGCTCCTGGTGGCACCGGTGCTTTTCCTGGCTGCTCCTTGGCCACCCGTGTGAGCCCAGCCCCGGCGCTCACCCAGCGAGCACTCGTCCACGTCCTGGTTGCAGGCTGGCCCCATGTACCCCGAAGGACACGTGCAGATGGCTTTGCCGTTGACGGGGTTGGTGTCGCAGTTGGAGCCCTCGTTGCAGGGGTTGCTGATGCAGGCGTCGTCAAGGTGGCACAGCAAACCTGGGCAGCAGAAGGCAGGCATGCGTCAAGGGTGATGGGCACACCAAGTCATCACCAAGAGACCTCAGCTAGGAGGCAGGGGACATGCAGGGAGCTGCCACCCCTCCCTGCGAGCAGGGGGTAAGGTGGGATGGGGCCTCACCTGTGCGGCCGTGGGGGCACTCGCAGTAGAAGGAGGCCACCCGGTCGTGGCAGGTGGCCCCGTGGAAGCAGGCGGCCATGGCACAGTCATCAATGTTCTCGCTGCAGTCCTCGCCTGTCCAGCCGTTGACGCAGACGCAGTTGTAGCCGCCGTGGTTGTTGTGGCAGGTGCCCCCGTTCTGGCAAGCGTTGGGCATCAGCTGGCACTCGTCCACGTCCTCAGTGCAGTACTGACCTGCCAGGGGACAGGGCACTCGTGTGAGGCTGGCACTTCCCAGCTCCCATGGGGCTCCATGTTGCTGCAAAGCAGGATGACTCTGCTCTCCCCACCCCATCCCTGGCGTCCCTCGGGGCAGGATCTCTCCTCCCAGCCCAGCCCCGTGCCACCCTTGCTGCTGGCAGTGGTGTTACCTGTCCACTCCGGTGGGCACTGGCAGTTGTAGGTGTTGACCCCGTCCACGCAGGTGCCCCCATTCTTGCAGTTGTTGCCTGGGCAGTCGTTGATGTTCTCCTCACAGTTCTGGCCCGTGAACCCTGCACGGAGGAGATGTCTGCTGTGATGCCAACCGACCAACCAGCCGTGCCACTGCCTCACCCCCCCCTCTATTCCCCCCCTGCCGATGGCAGGCTGCTGGTTATCGGGTGCTGAGCGTGTGCCAGGCCCTCCCAGCCCGGCTTTGAAGCCAACCGCCCCGTTTCATCCCCAGCCCCGTCCCGCCTCTGCCGGGGCTTGGTTCTGCCGTGCAGGTTTCCCTGCCAGGCCACCATCAATGGAGCCCGCAAGCGGCGGTGGCTTCCTCCAGGCAGGGCAGACAGGGCGTCCCCGGCGCGGGGTTCTCCTGCCAAAGCCCCCGGCTCTGGAGATGCTCGCCCCGAGCAGCGGAGGATCCGGCTCCACGGCAAACGGGGCTGAACCGGGACCGCTCCCACCGAGGCTTGCGGCACCCGGTGCTGAATCACCGCCTTTTTAATTTCACATGTAAAGAGCCTCATCAGCAGCGCTTCCCCCGGAGGGGGGATCCAAGTCTCTGGCAGGGTGAACCACCGCGGCGCGGGGCTAATCCCAGCCCAGTTGCTTGGATTGATGTTATTGCCTCCACCTGAGAGCGCGGCAGGAATGGAAACCGTGCCGCCCCCGGCCTCTCCCCGTGCTGTCTGCAGCATCAAGGAAACAGCCAAGCCCTTCTCAGGACACCTGCCAAGCCACCCCGTCCCCCTCCAACTGCCACTTGGGCTGTAAGGGCAGCCCAGCCTCCCCAAGCCCCCGAGCCAGCCCCCGTTGGGTGTCTGCCTTCCCAGCCCACCCAGGGGCTCAGCATCAGGACGGTAATGCCAGCGGTGCTGGGGTGCACCTGCAGCTCCCCCAAACTCCCCAAGGTGTCCTGCAGGTCCAGACCAGGCTGCTCCCCGGCACGGGCAGCTCACTGTGTCACCTCCACGGGGAAGGGACCAGGCTCATCCTCTGTGGGACCCCAGAGCCTGGCCCAGCTGGGGGTTTTCCCCCCCCCAAGCTCTCTCCAAGGGCTTCCCTCTCCCCCGTAGCCTCAGCCCCATCACACGAGGAGCAGCAGCAGCTCTTTACGATCGCTGGTAGGAGTCCAAAGCAGATAACGTTGATTTGTGCCTCATTTTTAAGCAGCTGGGCTGAGACTGAACAGCAATAACTGGCAATGTCCTAGATACCAGGATTAACTCATTTTGAACCATCCGAATGAGTAATTAGTACTGCAATTACTTTAAACTCAGGGTTGCATTCTACAGCGATGGCATGATAAAACAGCCAAGATTGGTTTAACTTGAAGAAACCCGGTCCGGCCAGGCCTCTCCGGGAATGAAAGGGGGACATTGTTTCAGGTCTGCTGCGCCGCATACCAGCGTATCAATCACCCTCTTATCATGAGAAACAGCCCCCCCCCCCCCGTCCCTCCTGCCTCCGCCCGGAGCCGATGCAGCTCCTGCAGCGAGCCATGCCGGATGGCGGCGGTGCCGTGGAACCCCCCCTCTTTTTCCCCCCCCATGGAGTCGGGGCCGTGCCACCCCATGGGAGACAAACCAGCTCGTGCAGCATGCAAAGCTCCTGGAAGCAGCCCACAAAGCTGTGACTGGGT